ACAGTCTTCACACACCTCAGACGATGACACCAATTGTCTTCACTAACTTACTATAAAATATCATTATATAGCAGTGTATAGACAGGATTTTTAAGCAGACGTTGAAAGATGAACTGAACTAAGAGCGATTTAAGAGGTTGTTTGGTGTCCATTTCAAAATTTGTTTACATCTAAAACGGATGAACATGTTACGATCGTGTTCGGTTATTTTAGCTATAGAGGACTTATAGAAAATTAATTTTAATATGGAGATTTTTGGTTTCAGACGAAATTTAAAGAGCGAGGTAATCGCTTTGTTTACATGACTGATTATTGGTATCCGTTTTAATATGCAGGAATATAGATTCTTACCAGAAAATAGATGATTCACGAAAACAGCAACAAAGAAAGATATTTTAGCAGTGGAAGGCCTAACTGGCAGAAGAGAGAACTTTTTTATTGTCTAAAACTTTCGCGGACGCAAAAGATCGTTCTTGTGAATATCAATACTTGTGGGTAGAGATTATCTACAGTAAAGCATTCGAAAAAATTAATCAGACGTATTGAGGCTTTCAGTCTTAATTATTTGGCATGCCTGCGCATGAGAAAGTATCATTAGGGAGTAGTTTACCTCAATGAAATTCTGTTTTTTGAAGAACTAAAAATGCTTTTTCATAAGGTGAAAAACAATGCCATTAGAAATAGAGATCTTGCATAAACGGGTTTTAATAGGCAACCTTGAGGAAAAAAAAGAAATATAAAAGCACAACATAGGTTTGATTAGAGGGAGAAAGGTGGCAATTAAAATGTTTCCTCTGACCTTGAAGTTAATATTTTGGCAAAATCGAGAAACGTGTCTATGCTATCGAAGGGTGATTGGAATTTGCATATCATGAAACCACTCTCTGCAGGATGTTGGATCTGTTTAGAAAAAAGCGAGACAAAACAACTAACCACATGAAAGTTGAATCCCAAAGCAATCCTACCATTTGGTAACTAACGGCTGATGTTTTTCAAATGTACTTGACGCAATTGCGATTTCGTTGGACACAAATTTTGATGGAGTTGAAAGCAATTGATAGCAAAGCTTTTAAATCATCAAGAACCGAAAGTTCTTTATTCCTCTTGTGGTAAGATATCATAACGATAAAATGTTTGACAGCAGATAACCTACTACCTTTTGTTTTGTGACTTCATAACGGCCAGTAGAAGTGGTAAACACATCTAATATTTGTCGGTAATCTTGAAAGACTGAATTTCCAGAAGTCAGAAAACAATGAATGTAAACGAGATTCGGGTAAAGTGGAGTTGATTGTCAAGTTGAATTAAAGACGGAAAATGAATCTGAACAAAAACAAAACATATTCAGCTTACACAGCTGGTTCTTCATCTCACGAAAGTTCATTTGCACACGGAATGAATTAAATGCCCGATACACCTTTTATAAAGAATTGAGATAGGTTTCAAATTTGATAGCATAAAAACCAGCAGAATCATTTTCAGCTCAAGAGTCTGCCATTGAATTAAACAAAGAGTGAATCCAATATCGAGCGGCCACCGCAAACGACCTTATTTATATGGATATGAAGCCATAATGACTGGTTTGAAAGGCTGGAGTGGGCTAGCTTTATATTTAAAAGGTTTTTTTTGAGCGGCATTAGTCTGATCTCCCATCTTCACTACACTCTCTTAATTCTCATTTGAAAGAGTTAATACTATTGGATAGGAACTCGTTCAGTTTCCATATTTGGCCTTGAAAAGGACACCGATAGTTAATAAAAGGTAGATTTAAGCTGTAGTAGAAATTAGCCCCTTAGCTTAAATGCAGAATCTTATTTCTTTCCAACTCTTTTTCTAGCAATTCTATTGTTATCAGTTCTAAGCAAATGGCTGAGGATTTGCTGTATTGCCTCAGGAGCAATGGTTTGTGGCAAATTCAGAACAATTCAATCAATATGCAAATGAAGAATCGTGTTTTCGTGTTTGTCATTAAATTACGAGCTAGCTTTTAGCTTTTAAGTTCAACACTGTCACAGTTTACTTACAGAGAAACATTTCGCTCCTCGTTAAAAAGCGTAAAACGGAAAAAAGCGAAGCGTCAAGCACATCAGACGACTCTTTGTAACCAGATTCTGGACAACAGTTTACTTAACTGTACTACCGTTGTGTCTAACACAGAAATTTAAATTCTCATCTCTAATTTCTTGAATTTCTATCGGTGATCGTCTTGGTAAGTTGAAAAGTGTTTCTTTAACCTTTAGAAAATTTGTGCAAATGAAAGAGAAGATGGACTGGTGCTTCGGCTTTCCATTTCATCCATTTTTCAACACTGCAACATTTGATGATAATCATAATTAAATCGTAGGCTTTGCTCTTTTTGTAATGTGACAATTTTTAAGACTTTCGACTTTCATTTTGAAGGGAGAAAGCAAAAGCAGTATATTTTTCTTTCTATCTGTTTACTTAAACTGCTTATACCTTATCAATGAATTTCTGCTTTTCCTTTTTTTGATCTTCTCAACAGTCAGTTCATATAATCGAAGTTACATAAATGTTTGTCATTTCTTATTTAGCTATTTATTTGCCTTATTTTCAATGCTCTTGTAACTTTTCCTGAACAACGTGGCACTGTTAAGGAGAAGAGCGGAACTGTTTCCTTTACTGATGCTCTTCATCAAAGGGTGACATTCTAGATTTTGATTTTTTTAACATGGAGACAAATTGCAATTTTTTGTAGACTTGATAAGGAAAGATTGCAAGAAAAATTTAGAAGGCCATGTGACAGAAATTTTAATAAAGCAAATTGCCCTCGAAAGGAGCAAACATTTAATCGCGTGGTCTAATCGTCTGGCAGTCCTGGACTCTTTGGGGTGTAACGACTGACGTTTCGACAACCTTTGCGGAAGTAATCACCAGAGCTGAGGATCAGAACAAATTTCAATTTGATCTTCAGTGTCTGCTCGTCCAGGTGAAAGTAAAATACCGAGGAGGACTATTTTCGATAGTAACGATCGACATCTTGACAACCTTGGCGAAAGTCACTCACAATCAAAAGACCATAAGTTTCTCTTTTACAGCAACTAGATAAAAAGTTTTCTTCTCCAAAAAGTGCATTATGTCATTTAAAAAAGGTTGATGACGCAAATCTAACTTAAAAACATTAGTGGGTTAGTTCGTGATCCAAAACAATGTCAAAATAATGGTTTCTATAATTTACTGAGTTATATATAAATTCTAATTAGTTCTTACTTATGAACTATTGGAGGACAGACGCATAGATGGCGTCACAATTAAGACCATTGTGCTTTTTCATCGCATGAAACAAACTGTTATCGTAGTTCTGTACAGTAATAAATCACATAACACGTCAAAATGTGGTAGATTGTCAGTACCATTTTTTTTTTGTTTTTACGCACAGTACATTTTGTGATCTATTAATGAAATGACGCGGGGCAATATTGAATCTATTTGTTGAATTGACAATATGAAGGATACAATTTGAGAAAACCTTAAAATAAGAAAAGTAGATGCTCGATCATTTGCTCGAAATTAGTCGTTTCATTTGGTATAAAAGTAATAACATCTTAAGTTCGAAATCTATGAAGCTGTTGTAGAATGCGAGATCGTGAAACACTGCTAAGACAGATTTTGCTCTCGATGATTTTTGGTAAACTCAGATTGCACTCTGCTTAAGAGGCTTATATCTTGACGTTTTCGTTCATTTTCGAATATCTCACAGCCACGCCTCGAGCAATGTCTGATACACTCGTTTCACCAAACTGATGTAGCTTGCAAACGATGTGATAGACATGTTGACTGAATGCATGTTTTTTTATGTGCATTTTTGTTCTGGCTCTATCAAGTTTTATATATTAGAAAGAATTTAGAAACAACTTGTGGTCTGCCAGCCTAAGAAATGGACGAAAAACCTTCAAAACCAAGCTAAATAGTGTCTATCACACATAACTACATTTATTTTCATACATTTCATTAAAATATTGTTTTTAATGAGAAAAAATGCATGAATTTCAAAGCCAACAACTTCCCGACAAACTGACCAATCAGTTTTCACGAGTCGGACATCGAACACCTGACTAACAAAAGCTCCCCACTAAACGCTGATGATGAACGCGCCTGGTTGAGATTGTTGAAACGTCAGTGTTCACAGAGTTTCTGGTTGTAAAGCATCATGCATATTATGCAAAGCATCATGCATCATGTTACTTTTTTCATAATAATTACATCAAACTAAATACATTTTAAAATGCTCTTAAATTCCCAAACATTTATAAAGGCAAGTACAAACTAGTTGAGCAATTTCCGCATGAAAAAAGACTGTTATCGTAAAGAGGGTAATTAAGTATTAGTACTGAGTCGATAACATAAATTGGCCACCGTAAAGAGTTTCAAAGCTGACATTTCGAGCTTTAGCCCTTCGTCAGAGCGAATGGTGGTATGGAATGGAATGGTGGTGTTTCGCTCTGACTAAGGGTAACGCTCGAAACGTCAGCTTTGAAACTCTTAACGGTGGCCAATTTTCGTTATCAACTCAGTTGATAATACTTAATAATCCTGTTATACTCTCCCACCGACGCAGCTTCATTCTGGTATCATAAAGAGCCTCGAAATCTTGAATCAAATGGCTGAGAAAGGAGAGGAATTGGAGGATTATTAGTTGATCCAATACCAAATTCACCGACATAACATTGTAAGAATTGTATGGCAGACAGTAAGGAGTATTACAAATGAGATCTTGGGAGTGAAATGTTTAACACTTGAAAACGTCGTAGGCGTTGTGAATACCACTAATCACTAATTTTCAATTTCTGATTTAACAGATAAAACAAACTACAATGGCGAGACAAAATTTTTCTAATGAAACAGACGATGACTATGAAGATTTTGCAGGAGTTTTTGATGCACGTTATCACATTCCTCCAATTGCTGTCGCCATTGTCATCATTGGATTAAATGGATTGGTTTTGTACCTGGTAAAGACACGACCCAACCTCCAATCAAGCATGAACTTTTTGCTATGTAGCCTGGCCCTGTCAGATCTATTGACAGGGTCACTGAGCATACCACTTCACGTTGGCTGCGATGTCACCTGGAAAACCAAGATTTGTGTGGCTTCGCAGCTGTTTATGCGATTTACATCAGTTTCCACGGTGATGCACCTTCTTGCCATTACAATGGACCGCTACCTAGGCATCAAACACGCACTTCGTTACAACGCTCTGGTCACAAAGTACAGAGTAATTGTAACTTCAGTCTTAATATGGAGTTCTTCAATATTTTCATCGCTGATACAGCTTGCTTGGATTAACTACGGACGCGATGACGTCGATGAAGAAGACGAAGACCTTACTAAGCATGAGATCCGTTACGACGTCACTAATCTTGTACTTTATGTTGCGATTCCATTCGTGGTCATGACCATCGTGTATATCAACATCTTTATTGAAATATTGCGTCAATACCGCAATATCAAACAATATAATTCTCCCGGATGGACTGAGACAAAGAAAAGGACTCACCACGAATGGAAGGCAGTAGCTATTTTCTCCATCATGCTGTTAGTCTTCATCATTTGTTGGCTGCCATTTTTTACCACTCGCTTGCAGCACAACTTGGGGAAGAAGTTATTTGAACTTCCACTCTCGTCAGAGTACATTTTCGTATATCTGAGGTTTTTCACGTCTTTTTTCAATCCTTGTATGTATATCTTTGGTAAAAGAGACTTTCGCCAGGCTCTAAGTCTCTCAAGGAGGGGTTTGTTTACGCGGTTTCACTCCTCTTCGTATCATTCATCTCTGAAGACAACTATGGTGTAGATGGGCTCATAAAACATCCCATACTGATATCATTGTGATACGAAATCATTCTATTTCCGATGGTAGAAAGTTGCAAAAACTAAATACGGGAAAGACTGATTTGGAAAGCTTACTGTGTTCACTTTGAAAACTTGGCACAATTTCCCACATTTTTCAAGTTCCGTCCTCCTGAGAAATGGGTGAGCACAGGTTCATTTCCCGAACAGCAGCTGGTAATCGAGCCTATTTATGACCAAAAGCAATCAACCAGTTTCTAACATTCTCTGAATTTATTCCCTTTTTGTCAAATAGAAACGGCTCGTTGGACCAGAGATGGAATCATTGGAAAGTAAAGGAGATATAAATATCAGAAAATTGCGCATTCCATTGGTGGGTTTCCTCTTTCTAACAAACATTTTCGATAACCAACGTTACCGCTGACTGATTTACTTTTCACAGAAATGATTAAAAATTAATTTCTCTCACAATTCCAATGCATTAGCCAGTGAAAAAAAAAATTAGCCAGTAGGTTAGGAAACCAGAGAGATGTTTTTTCGTCAGAGGTTTCGGAGCGATCACGCACAACGTTCAACGTTCAAATGGGAACCTCCCACCAACCTATCCATTCAGAATTAGTGATACAAACAAACAAACAAACAAACAAACAGATAAAGTATAAGTGAGGCTAAGGAGTCTCCAACACACGTTATAGCATTGTTGTTGTTTACCTTGAGTTTTTGTTTCATTGTTTCCAAGTTCAGTATCTCCACTCCTCCTTGTATATAGAGAACATGTTTGCCCCCTATATGCACCATATCTGAGCTACTTAGTTATAACGTAACATAAGCCCAGTTAGCACTGTGCTGAGACAGTAATCAAGGTTGTGATAAATTATTTATGTATTCTTATTATCACCGTGTGATTCCAGTTGTTAAGTACTCTTATGGAGTAGTTCTTGGCTGGTATGATGTGTGCTTTGTCTAAAACGAGACTAAGAGTGTAGTGTTTAGAGTGCTTACCAGAAAATTCTTAAAGGTAAGAAAAAAAAAAACAAAAAAAAAAAACCGCAAAACCTAAAACCGCCGCTTCGTATCAGCCACGAACTGATTTTCACAGCCATCATTCTTATTAATATTTTTATTATTATGTCAATAATGTGTGTTCTGTAGATATTGCATATTTGAAATTTAATAATACCTAGCTTCATACATCGTATATTATAAGAATATTATATTTATAAGGGATAACCTGCAGTTATTAGCCTCATATGGGCGTTTTTGATAATTCTTTTCAAGAAGGATTTCGTGTCAAAAGGGTACTCATTCATTGATATCACTAACAATATAGTCGATGGTCGTGCATGTTGCATGCACTTTACAAAATATAATAACTCCCCCTTCCATCTTTAAGAGTTGGAAGCATGTCACTTTCTTCTTTCAGTATCATTATCGACAATGAAGGAGACGATCATTAACTAAGGAAGTTCTTTATTTTTAAACAACTTTTCCTCAATACTATATTTATGAGAGTATAGGTACCAAAGGAAATTACGTTACAAATGTTTGCACGTCTTGTTTGTAGCGGCTCTGCAAACATTCAATTGACTTTTGAATCATAAGAGTTTCTCGCATCTAATCTCTCGATATCTCGATATCGTCTTGTTTGAAGCGGCTCTGCAAACATTCAATTAACTCTTGAATCATAAGAGTTTCTTGCGTCTAATCTCTCGATATCACATCACTGCTGAATCAAACATTAAGGTTATGAGAATATAAGAAATGACCACTCATTCAAGACGCTCTTGATTGATAAACAAGCTCTCCTTTTAAATATCATAAGAAATGTACAAAGAAGATTATGAAGAATGTACAAACTGATGTCAGGGTTCAAAAAGGTTAATCAATATATAAATTTATTTATGTCAAAGTGTGTGGGGAGATTATTTCTCTATCCGGGCCCAAGACTCATTTGTAAAAAACTTAATAATAAGTGGGTAAAACTTAACTTAACAATCAAATGAACTATTTCAGGAGCCCATTACTTGGTTAAATGGGCTCCTGACTATTTATAATAATATCAATTTAAGGTAAATGTATTTAAAGATAAATAAGCATACATAACTCCTTCGACCATGATACAAAAAATACTTGTGCACTCTATTACTTTGTCTTTAAATTTCGGATGTCTTCGTAGTCCCTCATGCTAAGGTCCGGTCAATATTTATCCCCCGGGATGGGGGGAGGGGAGGATTTTGGTTGAGTCATAATAAAAATTACCTGATCCCCCTCTAAGGCTCTTAAATATTCTTGCAGCTACCCGTAATTGGCAGTTAATTTTTCCACATTCCCCCTTTATTCTCTGTCGGCGACGACTGACCCTCCCCCCCCCCACCTTCCTTTAGGCCCTTTCCGATTGTACTCGGCAACTTTTTAGCAACTTTTGGCATTTGGAGCAACTTTTTGCGGTTCCGTAACAACTTTGGGAAAAGTTGCCTTTCTGAGCAGTTTTTAAGCAAAATACGGTATAGGTTAAACTTGATCTCATATCAGTACGAAAAAGTTAACGATTTCATAAAAAGCTAACACATAACCTGTCACTTGACATCGTTTCACATTGCGATGTTTATCTATTATTATAACGGGTAATTGACTAAAAGGACGTTGGGCAGGGCTTTATTAAAATTAACCATGTGTCCTGTGGCCTCAGACTTAAGTATCTTAGTATGTCACTAATTCATGAACGATGTTAACAACGCCTGTGAAAAACGAAAAATAGGGCCTTTTTAAATTGAAATAACTAAAAATATAAAGAAATTTTGGTAGCAAATCTGCTAGGATTTTTGGAAATATTTGAGCAGGTTTTTGGCTTTCCACTGAGCAACAGGCTCGCCTCCTATTCCCTGAATTTTTATGTTGAAGGGGGAATCACGGGAAACCGCTGGCATCCTCTCCCTTCGATGTAAACCGCTCTATCTTTTACTCTAGTGAAAATATATTAACTGTCATATCTTAAGGTAGAAATAGCTGGGAGTATGATAGTAAATTTTTTTCATCATCAAGTCAAACGCAAAATCATTTGGATGCACATGTCTGGGAGATGTATAGATGGTGACGCACAAAGTTAATTTTTAAGGTTACTTTCCACCTTCGCGGGTATCCTTCGGGAAAAAAATTCGTATGTGCGCTAGTTTCACTAAAATCCCTAGCAAACTGTACATCAGGAGAAAGCTTAATGACTGCAGATTACGATATAAATATAATTTAAACGACTTCTCTTTTAAGGAAGTTGGTAAGGCTTGAAACGACCGAAGGTTCTTCTACTGAATTTATCGGGTATTGGATACCGCAACACGAGCAAAATGGCTGTATTAATCAACGAAATTGTGCCGGGCGAGGCGTGTTGCGTAAATGGTAAACACGAGATCAATATTAAACATATCAAAATATGCCGACACTATTTAGTTTGTCATTATTCCTGGAAAATTTTGGCGAAATTTGACGAATAACGGTCAAATCTGTATACTCTATAAATTCGCTCAAAGTGTTTGTATTCCTTCCAAAATTATATGCATGATTTTAACTCATAAAAGTTCGGAAACAACTCGCACCACGCCAGGAGATTATCTCGTCTCCTGAAACCGCAAACCAATGGGACAACGGGACCTCCTGGCTTCAATGACAATGGTTCAAGATAATCTGTGCCAGTTACCGTTTCCACAAAGCTACATCTATCACATGGAACATGGCTCTCTGCCCATAACAATGACATCTTGTGAAATGTCAATGTCACATAAGGTAGTATTCTCTAAAAAAAAAGAAAAAACAGTAACTTATTTTGTCCCGTTATGTTATGAAACTGGAAAAAAAGACTAAATTGCAGTATTTTTGTTTTTTTCTCCAAGACATCTTAGAAGAAAAACATTTCATTGGATCTCATTGGATCACCAGCAAATCATTATCAAGTAACTTTTTCATCAACGAAAAGTTTAAGGAAATGGTTTCAAACATCGTCACTCCTTTTTCACGTTTGATTATGATCTGACAAGAGGATACAAAGACTAAAAGACAATCGCTTGATAATTTACAACCTGTAGTATTATTATTTCTTTTAGCTTATATAGGTTTACGGGCTTAAAATCTTTCCCATTTTGCTCTTAATCAAAAAATGAACAGATGCTAGACGGAGCAATCAGTTCAGTTTAGAGTGGTCGCGAACAAAGGGGTGCAATTTGTTTCAACGCAAAAAAAATGTGAATCGAGTCTTGGGCCAATAGACATGAATGAATTTTCTCGGATTTCTTCTAATGACGCACTTTACATCTTAACGCCAAGTAATAGCTGTATATCAAAGCGAAAACGATTCTGATAAATCATTATTCAAGTCTTAAAAATGTGTGGGAAAATAACCGCGCGCGTCTGATGTATGGATGCCAAAACCAAAGTGAAAAGTGTTTCTCCGTCTTGTTTGACTATTGCAGACGTATTTTAAAAAGGGATAACCACATGTAAGTCTTATAAATCTGATAACGTTGTATTGGTGAATTAGTATTCGGTTTTCTGTCTTTTATGATTTAAATACAGCCACATATTATAGAAAAATCGAATGTTTTTAACCGTTACAGATGGATCACCGCGTTTTTGACACCGCATAAACGTAAGACAGATTGGTTTTCATCCTAACAAAATTCTATCTGACTACCTAAAGAGGCTCTCTAGGGTTTTGTTCAATGTTTGCGAGCGCGCCAGCGTAATGTTTTTTTTGAAAATTTTTATGTTTTCGCTTTTGAAGGTCACTAAAAGCCACCAAAAGGCAATGAACAAGGTTCAGGCTATTATCAAAACAATATTCGTTCGAAAGCTAAGGCTCTACGAAGGGAGGCTCTCGCCAATAATAATTTGGCTTTGCCTTTGGTTTTCTTCAATGAAATCTCTCAAAATCTTCACAATTTGTGAAATTTTTCTTGCCGGTCATTTAAAAGCCGAAAAATAAAGGGGTTACAAAGGCAATATTCTTGCTATTTGCAATTTTGTATTTTCTTCCTTTATCTCCGGCCAATTTGGTCCTATGAATTTTTTTTATCAACATTCACAAGGAAGGGCACAAATATGTTTAACGGTCTAGCAAATCTTAGTCGGAAATTCCACCGAAGGAAACGCGATAAATCTTGCTCGAGAGATCCCTATTTTCTTCGTCGCAGAACATTACATGATGGAAGAGAAACTCGCCAAGATCTATATCTGAGCATGTGTAGACTTTTCGACATCTGTCGCCATTTGGCAATCTTTCCCACGGTGTTTTCTTTTCTCCGTGTTTGTTTTGTTATGTTCGCACCCAGATCTTGCGCGGTCAAAAAACCCCTTTAGAGCCTCCTTAATCCAGATGTAAATAACAGGTTCGACTTAAAGAAATGTTTTATTTATATAATCATACAAATATTAACCTAGCTGAGTAATATTATGATATTGAACCGAACGAAACCGTATTTCGAACTTGACAATGATGCGATATGAATGAAGAACCTTAAAACACTCAGCAACTTGGAAATATGTGAGTAATACCATCAAAACGTTCTGAGGTAATTTATCTAGACAAATCAAGCCGGGCAAGTCTTGGGAACTGAGAGAGAAAATGGATATTTCATTTGTCACGTCTTAATATTTCAGTCTTGCAGAATTTTCTTTCACGCCTATTTTGGAAATATCTTATAAATATAACTGACTCGAAGAACTAGCAGCTTTCGTTCAGAGCAAAAAAAAAAAAAAAAAGATTTTATGTCGATCTCCTTTCCTTTCTGTGAATTCACAGCACACAGAAGTAGGAAGTTATACCTATGTCGATATTTTGGTCAATTTCGATCCAGAAACACATTCGAGCTGAATTTTTAAAGGGCGCTATGATAAACAGCAATCAGCCCAGTTTGTGTCGGGAATAATTTTGGCCAGTCTTCGAGAGTTGGCGTTCACGCCCAATCGACTCTAAGCTCTATGAAGTGACAGCCCGCGTTGTAAGTAAAAGAAAGATTAATTGTACCAAAACTTTGTCTGCAATTGACTGCTGAATTCGAACTAGAGCAATATCTAACTCTGGTATGAATCAGATTCAGAAGCGTTCCAAAATAGATCAGTCTGAAGCTTTTCGAGAATCTTAGATTTTGTTGAAATCGATTAGTCAATTTCTTTTTAATGCACTAAACCGGTCTTGACTAAAATTTTTTGAGGTAAATTTTTTAAAACAAAGTTAAGAGGTGGCCGTCGTGTCTGGTTTGAACTCTTATCGTCCAGAATTAGATAACTTGACGGTAATACCACAAACACTTGCGACAGTGAGGCAAATGCATCGGATCAAAAATTACAGTTTGCTTTCAACATCCTATGTACATATCGTAAATTTAGATTGTCATGATTATATTTTCAAAGCTTCATGATCGTTTGTTTCCTTCTGACAGATAAATAAATTAAAGCGCGTTTTTAAATGCATACGCGAATGTTATATCCTCAAGAAGAGTTCATTACTTATCGGAAGCCAATACACATTACTTCTTGCGCTGAGGATATACGATAGAGTGTTTCATGATGATGAAATAAATAAAAGCAGGAGCTCACTAATGGGCTCCTGTTAAAACGTGTTATTTTTTTTTCGTCTTTCGTCTTGTTACGAGCTTGGGGCCAAAAAAAAATACTCAGTCCGCATGAGGAATCGAACCTCAGACCTTCGGATTGCTATTTCGAAGTTTTGACCAACATAGAGTGGAAAGCACCGCAAATACGCAGGACTATTTCCAGGTGATGGGGTCCCAGAAATGAATTATCACCTCGCTGTAGGCAATGCCATATTTCTAAAAAGGCATTGAAATCTTCACCGCACAAATTACCTTTCAGTGTTTTCATGCATGAGTTATTTATGTTGTTCAACCAATATTTGTGTAAAATATGGACACAGTTTTCCCAAATTACCAACGCGAGACGATTTAATGAAAAATCAGCCTTACATAACATCAACCAAACGTGTTTGTCACTTTTTCATTGTGAGTCTTTCCAACTTGTGAATTAAAAGAGACGGATAGTGGACTCTATAAGTAACACTTAACACTCCATCAATGATAATTTGGCTTCCTTTAAAATCTTTACACCTAGAAATTTTAATAAGAAAAAAAAATTGGTAGCGCGGATGGTCAGGAACTGAAGTATTAAAAATTAGTAATCATAGTTACATGTAAATTTAAGAGTAAACCTGCTTGCACGTTCTATTGCTTTGTGGACTTCTAAAAGAAACGAGCTGATAAATAATTCGTTATTCAATTTGATAACGGGACGTGACCTTTCGAACCCATGAAATATTGCGACTACTTCCTCAGAGATCCGACACATGATTGACAGCCCTCTGTAAACGCTTTTTACACAAGGTGCATTACGCGTAGAATGTTTTTGAAGGGTGCATCTGATAAAGAATTCATATCACGGAATGATTTGCTGTATGTGCCAGCTACTACCTGGATAAAGTCCGTAATGTTGATACAGCCCTTGTTTCAGAATTTCTTTTTTTTTTTTTTTTTTTTTATAAAGAGGCCCATTTCGCGTGCATTTTTTCTACTATTACGAATAATTTTTCTTTAAATTTTATGTCAAATATCCATATCTTAATTGAAATCTACAAAGTTTACATTTTGCACCCGTAAATTTTAATATTGCGTTTAAATACAGCAATGTCGGGAAAAGATAACGATTGAAATGTTTGAATTGGAGGAGGCAGGTAGACAAAACCCAGATAGCTTCGAAAATAACCACAACTACATTCGGAAATAATCTTTACATGTTTCAGAAGCACAAAAAAAAAAAAAAAAAAAAAATTCATGGACACTAATAACGAGGGATGACTTAATAATTTTTTCTCTTCTCCAATTCAATTAAAACTCTTTTATTAAGACATTCAGCAAAATCGTTCGAACGACAAATCGTCCTGGCAACCACTGCATAAACTAAGTCATGTTATTATAAAGTTTCGCTAAAGGGAAAACGATGTATTATGTGACTTTCTCCTAATTGAAAAACAGCTTATGGAATGTTTAATTGAACTTGACTCTGAAGTCTACATCTCATGAGTTATTAATGAAGATGGGTTCCGAAATAGTTATTTCATTGGTTTACAGTACGTCTGAATGACCTGAACATACAACTTTTTTAAAGCCCGACTGAAAGGGAGATAATTACAAAAGATACACCTGTCGAAGCAATTTGTTCCAGGTTTTATTTGAATTGTGTGTTTTCTTTATGCGAACTATTTACCCTCTGAAAGCCCCGCTGTATAAACTTGAAAGAATGGGTTGGGGTCTTTTTTCTGAAATTGTAGGTTATAGAGTCTGGCGTAAGTTTTCCAAAAGCGTCTAGAACACTCCGCGTTTTTGCAACAAATCACGACGTCGCTGTCCGATACAGAACGGTTAAAAAGATTTATTCCTGGATGACACAAAATTAGGTGAAAGTATCAAATTGGATTTTATTTTTTTAAATTCCGATTAGCTTGTTGAATCTCAACGGACAGTTTCACCTTCATTAAACAGAGCCAACATGAGTCAGACGTCAACTGAACAGAACGACTCTCGGTTCAACAATGTTTCCACTGGTTTGGCGCTGAAAAACTTCTCAAATTCAGGTAAGGAAAACAACGAATTCTACGAGGGTAATATGTTACTTTTTTCTCTTATGCCTAAATTATGCTGGGAGAGATTTGAGCAAGACAGACCTTTGACAGGCATCGCTAAATTGTATGTTTAAGATGAGGATGTTTAAAAAAAAAAAAAAGAAAAGAAAATTCAATTTGCCTCGGTCCCTCGCAGTCTGATCATCTTACTAAATTTTTTGAGTTCGTCTTTTTCATATTTTTTCAATATATATTTAGGCGTTCTCGTATTGTTTTGGTTAATTTTCGCCTCTTCGATGTTTCGCTCCCTTAGAAATCGATTATTTAACTACCCCATAATTTAACGGCAATTTCGATGTCGCTCTTTAGCAACTCAAGGTAAACAACGCCGAGTCAGTCGTAGGAATAAGATTAACTTTGTAATTTACTTATTAAGAAATATATGGAGGAAAATTTCTTGAAGGATTGAATCCAATGAAATATTTACTATGTAATAAGCTATCACAGAGTGATCCAAACCGACCACAGAGCTCAGTTAATAATAAAGCAAGTTTGTTTTGATATCCATCAAATGAATAATTAACTAATGTAACTCGAATTTTAATGCGAATTGAAAAAAAAAAATTCGCTGTACAACGATATCATTAAACTCTTCGCCTCATCAGTTATAACCCACCTAAATGAATAATTTTCTTTGCTACAAAGTTACCATTAACCAATTACAAGGTAATTATGAAAATTGCGAGGCAAAAATCTGTTTTGAAGTTTAGCTAACGTCTCATTGCGTAACAATAACAAGAAAATGGTTAAGAAGTACACTTAGCCCCTGTTTTTTGCATTGACCGGCCCTGCATTATAAGTTTGAACGAAAATGCACTATGGATAGCCTTGTTTCAGTCTTAAATCGTACCATTACTCATTTCTGTGACATATTTTCGTCATTTAAGCTTCATGATTATCCTCATTATTTTTTCACCTTTTTCGAGTACAGGATATTTCTACTTGACTTCAACCATCACTGATAAATTTCAGACTCAAAAGTAGAATTAAGAACACTTGGAGAAACGATGTATTTATTATGGAACGGGTTGAATTTTCTAAGCGACTCGATTACTTATCCCTATTTTTATTAAACTCTTCGTCAGGATTTTTTAGTCGCCGCCATACCCAAAGAGTTTCTCCGTTGATGCGAAGATAGAATAGCGGGTTTAAACTACCTTTCAACGGCCGAGACACGTTTAAAAAAGCAGGGTTGACGGGGGATTCTATGAGCTCTGGAAAGAGCTCCCGATCAACACACTGCATTTCTTATCGGTACACATGGCAGAGTTTTAAATTTTTGAGATCTTTTTGTTTCTGTTGCTTCTGCAAACGAAGAGTGTTATGATTAACCTGTTGTAATAAACGCTGCCCATGGTTACTTTTCCGAATTCGCACAATCGCAAAGCTTGGGAAGTCGGTATTGTTAGTACAGTATCTCAATTTCAATTCTTAATTGCTTTTGGGCTGAACATATTAAGCAGACAGTTAAGGTAAATTAGCGTAAATTTCCTCTTCCAAATAGGCCTTAAAATTCACGGTTTTCTCTGTTAAATATTAAAATTACTCTGTTGTCTCAGCTAAGAAAACTTATTCATGGACACCTCAGGTTGCTTATCATTCAGTCAAGTATGCCTATAGACACAAATACAATTAGTTTCTGATGCTCTTTAATACTCCTCTCGTATGTGAGAACCATTTAATTACTAAGATTTTACATTTTTTCAGACTCTCTATAACTGCCGATTTGCCAACATTATAATTAATGAATTGGTCAGACGTAGACTAAAATTCAGTGTATGATAAATTGTACATACAGGCGAGAAAGCTCAGTTCAAAACTCAAAAGGAAACAAATTCAGTTCAAATGGCATCAAATCTTCCCACGGATTTGTTTGAGGAGCATACATGCGTTTGGACTCGATTACCGAACCTGCTATGGGTTAATTTTGTTGTTTTTTTCCCCTTCATCCTGCATGTATTGCTCCAGGTTCTCGAGTTTTCCTCTCCATAAAATCCACTCCCCAAAGTCCAACTTTACTTGATATCAGCAGACAAGAAGAGCCACTGCTTGGTTGTTTACAGTTCCGATTTATAATCATTATTTTATTTCATTTTTTTATTCATGTAGATGACGAGTTCGATGACATGAGTGAAGGTCGTTTCCAACCTGTTGTAGACGTTCCAGCGATTGCGTTGGCGGTATTTATAGTCATCATTAACAGTTTAGCTTTGATAATGGTGGCGAAGAAAACATACTTGAGATCCATCACCAATCTACTGCTGTGTAGCCTGGCTTTATCCGACCTCCTTACTGGCTTGGTCTCTGTGCCACTGTTTATCACGTGTAACATCATCCGTAGATTAGCAGTTTGTCTCACTGAAGAGCAATTGTCTCGTTTCATCTCAGCCTCTATTGTGTCTCATCTGATGTCCGTTGTGATTGACAGGTAATGGAAATATAGTAAAGATTTTGTAATCAAAATCTCTTTTTGTAGAAAAGCTTGGTTTAGAAAATGAAGAATTACAACCATATTGAAAACCATACCGTGCTTTTATTCTGAGTCTCTCATAGCTGTAGTTTCTTTTCTTAGGAAGCTAAATGTACGTTCTCTCCAAATAATATGTGAAAGAGGTTGAGATCAGAAACAGAAATCGAAAAAACCAAACAAGTAAAAGCAACCCTCAGCTGGACTAGTGCTGGAGTTGCGCGCCGGTCGCAAATATTCCAATTTTGCAGAAGAAAAACCACTATTTCTTCAAACGTGTGCCGCTTGGGCACTCATATAATTTAGCGGAAAAAAAATTGAGACCGAGACAAATTTTTCATTAATTTTTCTAATTGTTAAGTAACCATGTCAGAAACGTATAAAGAAATGATAATAATGATAACAATAATGATAATAGATGAACACGATAAACTGATAGGAATGATAAAACCTTAAGGAGGCGTTAATTAAGGAAAACGACTTTCTTTTTTAGATATCTGGCAATTGTACACCCTTTGCGGTACACGTCACTGGTAACACTCCGCAGGTGTGCCATAGTTATTATCTTTATCTGGACATCATCGGCCGTCACTGCATTGGTGCAATTAACTTGGCTCGATCCATTCAACCACGATCCACATGACGAAGACCTGACGGACTCCTTTCAAAGAACAGAACTCGTCTATGACATACTGTTTCTCATTCTATTTTTTCTAATTCCTTTGATGATCATGTGCTTTACCTATGCGAGAATAATCTTTGAGATAATTCGTCAAAGTCGTAACATCCGGCGAGAAAATACGCCCAGCTTACCAGACACTAGGAAGAGATCTAGGAATCACCATGAGTGGAGAGCCATTGCAATCTTCGCCGCCATGATGTTCGTTTACATAATCTGTTGGCTGCCTTATTTTATGCTTCGCCGATTCGATTTGTCGGCGTTGGCAGACACTTTTATACTGGCTGTTGTTTGGTTGAGGTACCTCGCGTCGCTTTTAAACCCTTGTATGTACATATTCGGCAAAAAAGATTTTCGAAAAGCTCTGATTGAACATGTGCTACCGATGAAGCTGCAACAAAATTCCTCGTCTACGAAATCAACGGCTTTAAGAAGTACTGTAAACGCCGACGACTTCTTTAGTAGGAGAGGTGGAGGTTACACGGAAATTGGCAGAAGAAAGGAAACTTCAGTTATCTGATGAATGCCTTTTTAAGCCTGAATCTGAAACGTGATTCTCACCACTAGTTGCCATATATGAATGTGTAAATATTGAAAAAAAAAAATTGATATGAGTCACACAACGGTTTCACCCTCTAACTGATGTTTTTGTCTTTCCTCGTCAATTCAATGCACTAGATTGTGTATCTTTGTAATATAAGTAGACGATAGATCAAAACTGCTGCATGAAAAGGGAGGAAAATAAATGGTCCATACATGAATCAAAGAATGATTTACTGATGGGTCCTGTTTCAGAATTATTGCATCTCACTCAAACACATGGGTGGCGAATGGCCCGCTGAAAAATCGTGGTTCTCGCAAACTTTTTCTCCTATCACGAAATCTTGTCCGCGATAACCATCGAAGTCTCGTTCATAAAGCAGATTTTTATGTGGGAGTCTAGCATTCCTCAGTTCAAATATTTCGAGTCTGTGATTTGTTTTATTAATAGCCATAGATCTCATTAAAAGATAGCTAGAATAGCTTAGAGTTTTTTCTTTGTGAGCCACGGAAGCCTGTGTGATCGCTTTCAAGTTTAAAAATATTGCAACGTGGAAGAAGATACCTCTACAGCACGACTTGTACAGCATAACATAGAATAATATAGAATACTCTTCACGGCCAGTGGCTGTATTGTTAATGATTCAATAACTGTTATATATCAAGACGTTTCGGGCTTTTACTTGGCCTTTCTCTAGACTCCATACTTCAGGTTGGAGAACATATGATCAAAAGAATGTAAAAACCATTTCGATTTTTTTGTCAAGTAACTATAGAGTTGAATCAAATTCTACTATCTTAACAAATAAAGAACATAAGTAATGCAATGCAGATAATTGCCTCAACGTTTCTCCCGCTGAAACATTTTACAATAGTTTCTATTATAGAAACTGTGGATTTTTACTTGGATTTCAAGCACTGAGAAAATCGGTAAAAGCACTCGTGTAAAATTGCAATAATGTCTTACCTGTGTTTGATACCGCCAATCTGCCGCTGACACGTCACTCGCTTTTTGCATCACTTTGTCAGGATGATAAAAGAATGACAAAGCGTATACCGTTAATAAAGTCGACTTTTCTTATCAGCAAAGGCCTATGCTATTTATATAATAAACTACATGGTTGCTTGCAGATGTGAAATTTCTCTTCTCGTATTCAACGCAAGGTATCGAATTAAATAAACGCTCGGAGAGAAATTCTACGTATACGTGCGCCCACGAATTATTCTTTATGTATTCGGCTAAGGTATGGGTTTCATTTTCCAGTGGGGGTCTTACGTTCGCATACAATTCAAGTAAACTAGCATACAACTTGATTGTTAATTGTAGTCAAAAAGTTTAATTCTTGTGGATATTAGTCTTGTTGATGAAAACGGCCTCGCAACTGGTGAGATATTAATTCCGTCAGCTATAGCTCACAGATTTGAAGTTTTAGAACAAGGTAAAATTTCTGATTCCATCTTAAACTGAAAGTATAACTGAAGCGGAATTAATACATTGCAGCCGACGCCTTAGTTGTATCTGCGTCTGTTGCCTCCTCTGGGACAGATTTACAGATTCCACGCTTTGAATGTCCTTGCATTGAGTTTTACACTGGAGCCCCCACAAGTTTGAGCGGAATCATGTCTTTATAATGGTAACGTTTATCTTTCCTCCCTGACCACTTCAGAGCCAATCGGAAATCCTTCTTTCCAAAGATGTATAAACATGGGTTTAGGAAGGACGACAGGAATCGCAGCCACAGGATGACGTACATGATAATAACACTTATATGATCCAGACGATACAGTCGAAGGACGAAGTACGGCAACCAGCAAACGGCATAGACCAATAACATTACTGCAAAAGTTGACACAACTTTCCTCTCGACGTATTTCAGCTTTCGAGAATCCTGGCTATCAGGCGCAGTTTGCTTTCGGAGGAATTCGATCTGTCGCGAGACTTCATTGAAGATTCTTGCATAGACGAAGACCATACAGACTAACGGAACAACAGTGAAAGCAAGGACGCATGTGACGTCATAAATATTCTCCTTCTTAATTACGTCAGGGGTGAGTTCCTGATGTGGGTCGTGATCTACTGGGTTCATCCAACTTAGCTGGACCAAAGCCATGGTAGCTGATAACAACCAGATACTCAGAATGACAGAAATGCATCTTGAGTGAGTAAAAATCGCCTTGTACCTCAAAGGATGAATAATGGCGAGATACCTAACAGTTATAGAATAGACTTAATAGTTAAGGTGGCTCTTCACAGTTTAAGTCACTGCTATTTTAAGAATTAACCTCATTGCTATTTTGTAAAACAAAACAAAACGAAACGAAAACAACGAAAGAAGTAGTAGCAGCAAGTTCATGTTTACCTGTCTACGCTAACAGCCACGAGGTGGCAAACAGTTGAAATCGACGTAAATCGCAGCATTTGATCCTCAGCAATACATATTCCAGGCTTATGTAATAAGTTGCACATCAGAAACAATGGTATACTGATCACCCCGGTTAGGAGGTCTGATAAAGCCAGGCTGCACAACAACAAGTTTGTTAAACTTCTTAATCTTTGTTCCCTTGCTACTAAAACTATGACGAAGCCGTTGGCCAAGAGGATTAATATTCCCAGAGTTATTGGAGGTATGTCAACTGGGAGCCCCAAGCTGTAATCAGAGGTTGATGAGTTATCGGCTGAGGTACTGTGCGACGATTTGGTGGTAAGGTTCATGCTTGGCATTGTTGTTCACTCCTAAGGGAATGTTTCCTGAAAAATACAAAGGAAAAATCTAAATCAATCGTGCCATTAGACAAGCCGCTTAGAAGCCGCAGTGTCATTTCATCGACTACCTATTGTCAAGCACGTCTTTTTACTGTGCCCGTGAGTTATTCGTGGAAGGTTACAAATACTAGTTCAAATGTATACTATGGAATATCCCTCGAGTTAAAGGTATTTTCACAGTCAGTACAAATTAGTCGTTTGGCGAGCGTTTGTAGCGAGGGTCAATCATGGTATACCGCTGAAAAGTGTTGAATAACTAGTTAACGCCATGCCATATGAAGTAAAAAGGCAAGCACAATCAATGCGAGGATAAAACGCCTACTTAACCCAAATCAATTTCCGCCATTAGAAATCATTAACCGCCATAAGGCATCATTCGCCTTCATCAGGAGTCGTTCGACGTCATTAGACCTCATTCCCCGCACCTAGGCTCCGTCATGAGATGAGACGAAGCCGATTTCTTTAAGAGACATCATTCACAGTTCTTATGAATTTTTTAGGATACTTTACCACAACTTGGTAGGAACCATCGCCACAAAACATCGTTTGTTGTCACTACGCATCATATCCAGTAATTAATTGTCATAAAAGATCATAAGAAAGTCATTCACCGACGTCGGAGCTCTTTGAAAACACTTTTTCACTATAAATTATGACAGAGTACAAGGAATGTATGTTAAATTAAATGATTTTAGGCAATCTGGTGAAAGAAATTAGAGAGTGATGGCGCCGTTTGTAAAATTTCGGCGAGGATAGGATTACTTACAGCGCAGAATGCGGACGATTAGAAACAACAACGCTGAATTAACTATGGCTATTTTATATGGCATGAAACAAATCACATAACAGTGTTTGATAAAATGTATTTATCAATAGATGATTGATCAGTATATGATCACTATTGTTTGAGAAAACAATCGATAGCAATATGAAATAAAACATAGGGATGATGATTTTCAAGTAAATCTATTATAGAAGTTTCCCGGGAACTGAGAAACTTGGATGTAAGAAATGGCTGCAAACGACAACAGAGACACGTTGAATATTCTGGGGGGGAGCACGTGAGTCTACTGTTCTCTTATCTATGAATGGTAGGAAATACACAACTATTGACTATCCAGCTCTGCATACGTTTTAGTAAGTCTGAATCAGACGATGTACAGATACAATAGTGTTTTAATCGTTTATTGATTTCCCAAACGGCAATCAGCATCAATAAACTATTGAAAAGAAATTGTCTGATATCAGATACCTGATTGGTTTCTTGCCATTGATATCTGATCGGTCAACAGGTAGACTGGAGGCACGGGATTAAATATTTATGAAAGTAAGGCAGGAGAAGTATATTTAATGTTTTACATCGATCAATACCACCATTGACATATGTAGCTAAAAGGAAAAGCAGGTGTTTTGCTAAGTACCAAGTTCAAGATAACACAGAGGAAACACTCACGCTAACGCTTGGAAAGTCAATTTTTCAAATGTTCTGCTCCTACTTTAATTATTCACTTTCAATCATATCTGTTTCGTGTTTTCTTCTGGAGTATGCGCAACACGTACAAAAGACTCAGTAGGGTTTCTCTCCAAGATCGCTCATCAGATCAGAAAATGTCAAAGAGAAGTTTTGAAAAAATGTAATAAAGTAAAGACTGTTATTTTTGGACAAGAGTTCGTTTTGTCCTGATGCCTTTTTATTGCCTCAAATGTGAGAAGCCACTCAGTAGCACTGGGTTCTTTGTGAGTTTAATATTTCATTTGGATTTGGATTGAAGAAATTAAATGAGTACCCCTACCTCCCCCTCCTACACTCCTCTTTACAATCACGTACGAGTTTGCAGCTAACTTTCGTTCGATCGAGCGGTTGATTTAATTTTTGATTGTCACTAGAGACCAATGAATGGTCACTCAACCGTGCTCGGAATTAAATTCTACCGATAAAGCATTTAGATTAACTTCCAAACGTCAATTTGTGATCATCCTTATGCTGACATAAAAACTACACTTATGGAGCCTTATTATGCTATCGTGATTAAGGCCTTTTTTGTGCGTCCCACACTAATTAATTCTTCATTATGGTCAGACGCGCTATGGATCCCACGCTTTGGAAGTTGGAAAATGGATACTGAAACTAGGGAATTTAGATTTTAACCTGCTATGCAAGTAGCCCTCTTTTCAAGTAAACATACTAAGACCTTTTTATAGTTAACTGCATAAATGAAAATATCAGCGTTGTTTTGTTTATATTCCAGTTTTTAATCTCCCAATCCATTTTTTTTTGTCACGCTAGCTATTCAGTGAAAGAAGTCAGAGGAATTATTTCTTTCTTCTCTCCGTTGGCATTTGCCTCGCGGCCTAGCAAAGCAAAACTAGGTCGTTTTAAATACACTGGATCTCATAATGAATATCATCTTTCGACCAAAATTATATTGAAAATAATTTAAATATTATTCTATGTTTCGTAAGAGTTTGATCGAATTTTTGCCTGAGATCAACTAATCTCATAACTGTTGAGCTATAAATCTCGAGGGTGCCTTTAAATAAATTAAAATGTTAGTTAAGTTTAAAATTTGGAAAAATATGTTAAGATGAAAAAAATGAGGATAACTTTTTTTCTTTCCTATCTCTGTTGGCATTTGCCTCGTGGCCTAGCGAGGAAGAACTAGGTTGGACACCAGCTGTACATTGAATGCACTGGATCTCATAATAAATTTTATCTTTTAACCAAAATTAAATCGAAAAAAATTTAAATATTATTTTATGTTTCGTAAGAGTCTGATCGAGTTTTTGCCTGAGATTAACTTAATGTGGGAGCATGGAGTGTTCATCACCGATACTGAGCGTGTAGAGGTTATAACTGTGATTGATATGTACCAGCAACGGAGAACTAATAACAGAATCTTCATAACTAAAATAAGGTGAAGTAAAATATTCAGCAATGGCGAAGTTGGCGTAAAGAGCTGTTATTTGCTTAATTAAGCTACTGAGTTCAATTTTTACCTTTAGGCTACGATGAAGAACGAGTGTGAAGAGGAAACTGTCGCGTTAAAATAAAAATCATGGACTAGGAAATACGACCAAGTGCGGAACTGACTTGTATTCCACAGGAAAAAACGAGGAATATCCAGGTGAGTTAATGTGTTTACCTTCACAATTACCCGTCAGGTTTGCATGCAGAGTGCTTCAATTCTGACTTAGCTTCGCTTTATTTGTTGATTATTATTATACGTGTTCATGAATTGCAAATTAGCTCAAACATTGTACTCGTAAAAAGCTTTCCGCTTTCTTTCAGAAGCTTACCGTCTGCGATTACCAAAATGTTCAGAGCATGCCGGACGGAAGACTGCCTTTGTAGACATTCAACTGTCTGGAAGGTTTATCGGCTTTATCGCAGGGACAATTTCAAAATTCAACATCAGTAATTGTAGTGGAAAGGCGAGAGGTCCTGCGAACGTTTGATTTTCTCTCTTCTCAGAATTGAGTAGAAAAAATGATATATTGACTTGTTTCAAGAGATTACAAGATTCCTTTTTTTATGGAGCGATTCATTAAAAAAGAAATGAAAAGCTAAAATAAAAAGTATGAAGAAACTAAAAATGCTAAGAAACTGAGATTATTTTTATCTTAAGCAGAGGTATAAGTTGAGGATAAGTTTCGGCAGCGAAATCGAAGATCGGTTCGTTTATTTACATAGAAGTCGGGACGGCTGGTAGCATCTCAGTCTGTGACATATGCAAGAATTCACATCCACCGCAAAGGAACATGTCTCTCTTTATATATTGTATGCAAAAGTGTCAACTACAAACCGATGATTAGCAAATTAAAGAAAAATTTTCAGTAAAACCGAGCATATTTTCTGCACTTGCAATATTTCATTTTTCAATCACATTGTAACAGATAAAATTTGTTACTCACGAGATGTGGGCGATTTGTTGAAGATACGATATCACACACCTTATTACGTTATCGAAGGCCTTGGCATGTTTCACTGAAAATGAAGAAAACTGAGAGGAACAACGAGTTGTTGACACAACTAATTTTGTTTACCCCTCTATCATCCAGCCGGATGGGAAATGAAAAAGCGACGAGGAGTAATTTAATTGCTTCGGCTACGGAGCAGCCAATAACTTTTCGTGTTTTATGTTCGAAACACCTCAAAGCTGCCTGGAAACGTGTCAAGATTAATTTCCCCTGCGCTAAAACAGAAATTAACTAGTTTTCATACCAAGTAAATTAAATTGTCTTTGTTTCAAGCTAATAATTTGAAGTCACTTTAGAAGACGTTCGTCTATTTCATTTGCCATTCAAAACGTACAATTTTTACGGCTTCCGAATCGAAACACTGCCGGTCGATTCGGAGGCGGATTTTCCAGCTGCCACTTCAAAAACCACTTTTACATTTACGGGTATTGTTGACATCTTCGGTCTGTAGAATATTTAAGCATTACGGTTTTTCTTATCGAAACTTGTTAAAAGGTTCTCACTTTTGTTTTTCAGTTTTTACACCGTTAATTTCGAAATGTCTGTTAATTCACGTCCATATTTAAATGAGACTAAAAAGTGTAGACAGCTGATCGCAAAAATTGTGAAACCGAAAAAGCCGGCCCGTATCAAAGACAAAAACATCAGCGTCGTATATGCTTCTGAATTATCATTTTCCATGCAGAAACTTTAGCGAATTTAGCAAAAAGTTGTTTCTTTAATTTTCCAAGCTCAATTCCCTCTCCGCCAAAATACGACTTATGGTTAAGGTTTGTCTTTAACTCATTATTGTGAAGGGGAAAATAATTAGAAAAAATCCTGTTATTTGGGATGCATATGCAAATATTTTTTTTTATGTAAACGGCGATCTAATATGATCGTGTGGTGTGCTTTGAGCTGCCTCAGGTTTCAAATGGAAAAAGTGGGCGGTGGGCAGTTAAAGCTTTTCACTTTTCTTCCTTTTTTTCGACTGACCTGTC